TACCAGATGGATAGCCCGACACTTCCGCCGGAAAGGTTCTACACCACCTGGGCGCCTCCGCTATGAACTATGGACGGATGGCTCTGTCGAACTGGGAGTAAAATCTGGCGCAGCAGCCATGATTTACCTCAACGGAGAGCTCATTGCCCAAGCAAAGTCAGGTGCAGGACCAATAGCGTGTAGCTGCCGGGCTCAATCAATCGCGTTGCAAGTCGGCCTGCAAAATTTGCTCGACACCATTCCCCGTCGCAACACCCGACCGTGAAGAGCCTCCGTCTTCACAGATTCCCTGCCATTCCTCATGGCACCCCAAACGGGCCCAATAACCGTAACAGACCCCATATTACGAATACTATGGAACTTGTTATTGGATCCGCAACGCCGCAAGGCACGCATACGGCTACAATTTATATTTGGACACTGTGGCGTTGCGAAGAATGAGGCGTGCGACAAGGAAAACAAGACGGCCTCGGACCTACCACAGCGCACAGGGAGGTGGATACCAGATGTAGTAGCGCTGGCGAAACGTCAAATACACAGCCAGCTGCCCAAACCATCCACCCACCGCTCCAGCATCATGGGGCATTGGAACCCCACACGCAATGACCCCAGCTTAGGTCGAGAAGGGGGGGGGAGGCAGCCCCAGCTCGTTTTTGCACTGGCGCATCTCACCGCTACGGCTGGCTGCTTCGAGCCTTGCGGCCCACCGCGCGAAATACACCCAGGCGGTGTAACCCCCAAAGGGCCCCCTCCCCCACTCAAAAAGTCTCGCGTAGAAACGGCTGCAGCAAACGCAGAGGCAGCGCCGCTGCGTTACCGTGGCCCGGCCGACTGTCCAGAGGGCCAAACCGGCTTCAGCTGTCGGGCAAGCGTTGTGACTCACATGGGCAAAAAGCGCGAGTCCACGGAAGACCAGCCCCGTGGAAAACCAACCATCCCACTGCTGAGGGGCCGCCGGACATCCCGCCAGAACCCCCCCCTCCCTTCCCCCCAGCACCAAGGCCCAAACGCACAACACAGGAGAAGAGACCCAAGCCCGATAGCAAAGAAGCGTCGAGGAGAATTTGCTTGCCATCCCTGCGCGGCATCGCGAAAAGCCCAGAGGGGATTAACACGGCACCTTCGCCACTTCCACCGCCAACAATACCAAAGCGCAGAACGTAAAGGCACACGTGGGGTGAAGAGAACGCTACAAAATCGCCTTTCTAATGCGAACGCTGTGGGTTCAGAGCCCTTGATGATGTGGGGGTGCTCCCCCGCGCCCGTGCTAGGCATCGTTCCCCACAAGAGACGCCACGCGCAGTGGCACCACGACCCAAACTGTGCTGCCCGATATGCCAGGCGGTCATTCGCAATGCTGGGGAAATGGCGACCCACATGAAATACAAGCACCCTAACGAACCGAACAATAGGACGCAAGAACCGGACCAGCCCACACCAAGACCCCTCAAGCAAGAGCGGGTGGAAGCCCCTGCCTTGCATGCCGCTTCTATAAAGCTTTAAAAAGATAAAGCAGAATTGCCTCATCTTACAGAGCGCGCTGGAAAAGAGGCATCCGCCCCGACCGATGGGCCGCAAAAGACCGGGCGCAAATTGCCCCCTACCGCCGGAACGTCGGGAGGGGGGACGCAATGCTTGGTGTGCGTAAAATGGTTCGCTTCCATTGAATCAGCCAAACGCACTGCAGAAGATTTCATGAGGGCCGGGGGTTTTCATAACGCAGAAACGCCGGAAGCGTCAGAAGAATGCTCCCGTTGACCTGCCCCATTCACTCTTTTTATGTGCAACCTGCGGATTCCAGTGCCGCAGCAGGCATGGACCCACAAGGCACCGCATGGTTAGCCATGGGTTCAGGCCAGGCATAGTGAAACCAAGCTAACATTAACAGTGAGAAGAGACGAGCATGCACCTATTGGGCTGTCCCGCATTAAAGAGTCTGCGGTGTCACTTTGGGGGGCGGGGTAATATGGTGAAGTTATGCTTCATGCAGAAGTGAGCCCAATTCCTGCTCGCAGTGGAAAAGCTTTGTCCCAAATGGCCTTCCCCGATAGAACGGGACGCAAACCATATAGGACCAGGAATGGCCCTCTTTCTCCATTTAAGCTTCGTCTCTTCTCTATATTTTTGTCGATCTCGCCGCCGAATTTGCCTCCCCCCTTTAAGTGCTTAGAACAATGGGGTGGGTAAGCTTTTGAGCTCTCGGATGAGAGCACTGAGTCGCCTGATTCCGTCAGCGTGTGTTTCCTCACTTGGTTGGCTCAACGAAACTAAAGAGAAAATACCCCAAAATAACAAAATACATAACAAAACAAAGGGATACCCTTCCAGATAGAAATAAAGCAATAAGGAACGGGCTGTGCATTGGTGGCTGATGGAGCGAATCCGCCGATGAGAGTCGCAAAGACACAAGGAAGCAAAAAAAAATTCTGTGGGTTTATCGTCACCGCCCATGATCTTTAGTACCGTGCATGCTCCTTTCGGGGGTGTCCCCGCCCTTTAACCTTGGGCCGTGCTGTTTTATGTGGTTATCTCTTCTGCGTTTATGTGGAGGCACCCCAATCAACGATTAGGGTCTTTTCTTTTCCCCCAGTGGTCCGCGAAATTTCCGTTCTGGAGAGGCACGGTTTCGCCCTTACGAGTGATTGTCAACCAAGGCAGCCTTAAAGAAACGCGAACCTGTTCACGCACCAAACCGTTGATGACCAAGCCGAGCCCCCAGCGCAGTGTGGACCGGGTTTGTTTGTGGGAACGCTGGCCACGGGCTTTCAGGGCCGGAAAGAAACATTTGCACCGGCGCTGCCATGCGGGTGGCAGGCTAACCAACGCTCTTTTGTGTTGAATCGCCCTGCCCTTGGCCAAACGAAGGCTTGTTTTAAATAAGGGGCGGCTTGTTTCCGAATCTCCAAGCTATGCACCGCTGCAAACTTCGCAAAAAACGGCGAATTATGGACCCCCTTTGTTCCCGCATTTTTGGGGTTTCGCATGTGCGTTGCATCTCTGTTTGGCTCCGATGGGGGGCCAAGGCCGCGGGATGCTGCCCGTTGCGGGGGAAGTGGCGGCGCCGTTTGCCGATTGGGGGCGGCTGTTGCGCAACATTGGTGCGCTCTCTTCTTTCACGAGCTCGAGCTTCCAAGAAGGGTTTAAGCCTCGGCAATTCCACCCGTTCCCGCGTTGGTGGAAAAACGCCACGTCCACATCTGCCCCTTCTGCGGGTACATGGCACGGCGGTTTGGCCTCGCATAAAATATCTCGTACCACACCTACCAGGACACGGGAATCCGCATAATCTGATGGCCCCGGAATTCGTTGTTTGCCGGGCCGGCGCTCTTTTTTTCAAGCTGCGGGGGCGCGTGCGATCTTCGCATAGTGGGTGCTTCTGTAATGGCCCGACCCCCCGCATCGATAGCGCCGCGCTTTCCTCGGTGGGGGTGGGGGGCGATGTGCTTCTTCTTGGGTTTGCGAACCCCCTTTGCGATGGGGCCGCCCAGTTGGTGTAGCGGAAATGCCCCATCGTGGCGCCAAGGTCAAGCACCAAGTTCGCTGCTTGGGAAGCTGAATTTCCACAATTGCAACACGGAATCCAGCTTAGTTCAGGCTGCGCCGTGACACGGTTGCTGCGTATTGGGTTGGTGCGGTTAAGCGCCTTAGAAACAAGGCGCGTTTTGTAATGGGTAAAGCGCCTGGCCGCTAAGGCTGCAGTGGAAAATACACGCTGCCAATCAATAAGTTTCACGGTCGAGTGCCCGGTTTCTCGGGCTGGGGAATCCAATGCCATACGCTATAGTTCCCCCGGGGATTGCGTAATGGTCCGGGTGGACCGCGACCTGGCTCTCCAGGGATCAAGCGGAGGGCCTAACCGGAGACCGCTCCTTGGGACACCGTGCGGCTGGTATCGCCCGCGCCCGTGTGTTGAAAGATCCCTGTGATCAGGGGGGCTTTGGTGGGTATGGGTGGGTTTCTCCACCACCGAGTCCCACATAATCTGCCCTAGCGCGGCAGGTATGCGCAAATGCATTTTCTCTTTTCTCCCTTGGGCAGCGGAAGCAGGTCGTAAAATTGCACGAGGAAAAAAAAAGAAAAAAAAATTGGGGCGATCTTTCACCACGGGTTCCCCCAACGACCCCTGTATATCTGGCGTCGCGCCCCTGAATTGTCGTTTGGTGGCGTTGGGGGGCCGCAAATTGACGCAGACTTTTGCCCCTAATCCCGTCAGTTCGGCGGCGGCCCCACTTCGCGTATGCCATGCGCCTGCGGTTGAAGGCGGTTCGCCGCATTGGTGTGCTATCGGTTGTGCGCGGCTGGGGGCGGGACAGCGGCCCGGAACGGGGCCAAAGGGTGGCCCGGCGGGGTGTTCGGGGGCGCGCTGCAGTGCCCTCGTTTGTTAAAACGGCGCATTCCGATCAACCCCTCATCCGCCGTGCTTTCCGGCCCGGGCCCCGTATTCCGCGCAGCCCCGCGTTAGGGCGGTCATTGCCGCCAGCCCCTTCTATAGTAGGCCGCCTGAAACCCTGGCCGGGGCGGTGTCCGCCTGCTTTTCTGCGGTGGGCGTGCTGAAAACTTTTCTTTCGGGCGCCTTTTGCGCGACCTTCTGCGTAAGAGGGGGGTGGCAAGGCGGTGGTGTTATCCGTCGTGCCCGGCTTTCTTCGCGCCGATGGGCTGCATCCGGTTCCGTCTGCGCTTGCTGCGGCTGTTGGTGCATCTGGAAAAGTTGGTTTCACGTCTCCTGGAACGGTGCGTCGGCGCTTTTCTGTGTTTGA